ATATATGTATATATATAATGGAGGACCCCTATAGATAGAGGGGCCCCTAAGATAGGGGCCTTTAAGTTAGGAGCATCAATCAATAGGGGGGCCCCAATATAGCTACGCCCTTACATAGTAAGGCCCCCAGGTAAGGGGGCCCCCTATTAGAAGGGGGACCCCATAGATAGGGGGGCCCCATAGATAAGGGGGCCCCATAGATAGGGGGGCCCCATAGATAGGGGGCCCCACACTGAGGGGCCCCCTGGGGGCCCCTCTGGGGGCCCCCATGACAGTAGGCTGAGGTTTGGTTAGAATAAGTTTTTGTAGTAATTTAATATTATTTATTTGATGTTATTTTTTCGTTTAATTGAAGCCCAATTAATTCTTTTTTGCGTTTGTTTCTGCATTTGAGGTGTACATACACCGCAGTAAGCTATCAGAGGGATTCTAACAGAAAGAAATAATTTATTAATTTTAATTTTAAATAAATTGCAATACTTTGATGGCTTTTAGGGTTTGTTTAATATAATTAAAACAACAACGGAAGTCGTAAGCCTGGTGCTGTTCTTCTGCGGCAGGCTTGCTGCTGCTGCTGCTGCTGCTGCGGCTGCTGCTGCTGCTGCTGCTCTGCCTCTTGAGATTATCGGTTTTTCTGTTGTCTTCTTCTCTCCTTCTTCCCCCTTTGCGTTGCTGCTGAGGTGTACATACACCTCAACAATCATCATGAAGTCTTTCTTCAATGCCTGTCCTGTATAAGCGCTGGAGAGGCCCCGTCTTTGCTGTGGGGCCCCCTAAAGCCCCTCAGGGGGCCCCTTCCTTCAGCCTTTATGGGGGCCCCCCCAAGCGCTTCCCTGTGGGGGCCCCCTTCTTCCTTCCTCTCTCTTCAGCTGCAATAACACCGACGCAGAGACACCCGCTCTACACCTGTACCAACCATCAGAAACCCTCTTCGGGGGCCCCCTTAGGGGCCCCCTTGGAGCTCCTATTGGGGGCCCCCTTAGAGGCAGCCTTGGGGGCCCCCCTAGGGGCCCCCAAGGGGTCTCTCTCTGTGTGTTATAGGGAAGAGAGGAGGCTGTTGTGTGTGGCTGTTAATAGAGCAGACGAAAGAGAGATAAAGATAAAGATAGAGAAGGAGCAAGGCGAAGAAAAGACAAAGAATTACGTGGGTGCATTATCAGCCTTTAACTCTGCAGAAGAAGTCAAGGGGCCCCTATCAAAGCAGAGGGGGGCCCCCCAATGTATTAGGGGGGCCCCCAACAATAATATTTATTTAGGTAGAGCCTCTACTACTGGTTGTATTGCTACTGCTACATATGATAGTTCTTGCACTTGCTTGCTGCTGAGCTTCTCCTTTGACGGTGGGGATACACCGCAACCAGCAGCAGCAGAAGCAGAAGCAACAGCAGCAGCAGCAGCAGGGACGACAATATCAGCAGCAGAAGCTGCTGCACGTTCTCTGCAGCGCGCCGCTGCTGCATGCGAAGCAGCCAGCAGTAAGGTGGGGGCCCCTGGGGGCCCCTGGGGGCCCCCCTTGCTTGCTGCTTTAGTTGCTGAGGCCTTTGCAGGTGTACGTACACCTGAAGAGGGGGGCCCCCGCATGCAGCACGTGGTGTATCTGCAGCTCCCTTCTTTGTCTCTTGGGGCCCTTTCTGAGGTTTTATATTTTTGTGCAGATGCAATTAAAGTTAAAGATAAATTCTTCTGGGAAGAAGCAGGAAGAGTGGCGTTGCAGCAGCTGCAGCTGCTGCTGCACCCCACAGCAGCAGCAGCAGCAGCAGAACCAGCAGCAGCAGCACCAACAGCAGCAGCAGCACAACTAGCAGCAGCACAACCAGCAGCACCAACCACAGAACCACCAGCATCAGCAGCAGAACCAGCAGCAGCAGCAGCAGCAGCATCAGCAGGAGGAGGGGGCCCAGCAGCCTCTGAAGGACATCGTTGCATCGTCAGCAAGGAGGGGGCCCCCCTCGAGCTGGGGGCCCCCATCGTGAAGGTTGCTGCAGCAGCAGCACCTACGGGGTGTATAATAAAGCTGCTGAGAGCATTTTTGCTGTCGCAGCAGCAGCAAGAGGCGCTGCTGCAAGCAGGGAATTTGCTCCTGGGGCTGCGGTGTACCTACAGCCACAGCGACCTGCTGCATGCGCTGGCGCTGCTGCATCTGTGGGGCCCCACAGGGCCCCCCCCTCTCCTCATGCATGCTATTGAAACTCGGCTGCTGCTGCGGCAGCAGCGGCTGCCTCTTCCAGTTGTTGCTGCTGCTCTTAATGCTGCAGCAAAGCACAAACTCTTTTCTACAAGCCACGCAACTGCTGCATACTCCTCTCTTCATGGGGGGCCCCCCTATAGGGGGCCCTTCAATCTGGTGGCGGGGCCCCCTATGGAGAAACCAGCAGAAGCAGCAGCAGCAGCAGCAGCAGCAGCAGCAGCAAGAGCAGCAGATGTGGTTTCAGCAGCAATTTCAGGACCAGCACCAGCAGCAGCAGAAGCAGCAGCAGCAGCAGCAGCAGCGGCGGCGGGCGTAACTACAACAACAGCATCAGGAGCAGCAGCTGCAGGAGGATCGTCAGCAGCAGAAGCAGCAGCAGCAGCAGCAGCAGCAGCAGGACCAGCGGCTGCTCTATACTGGAGCCTGTCTCTCAGCGGCTGCAAGGCAATTGCGGTGTATGCACAGCAAAAGGGAGGAACAATAAGGGGGCGAGATGTTGCGTTAGCGTGTAGGGCTTTTGTAAGAGCCAGACAAGATGCAGCAGCAGCAGCAGCAGCTTCTGCTGCTGCTGCTGCTGCTGGAGGAGGAGGAGGAGGAGAAGCAGCAGCAGCAGCACGATCAGCAGCTGCAACAGCAGCAGCAGTAACAGCAGCAGCAACTTTATTCGTAGAGATACTTGAGGACAATTGGGGGGCCCTCAGAGTATCGCTCGAGCCCCTCAGCCTCTCGATGCTGCTGGAGGCCCTATCTAAGCTTCACTTCGCTCTACCGTAAGCTGCACGCTTTGCATGCAGGGTTTAGGGTTTAGGGTTTAGGGTTTAGGGAATAGGGTTTGGGCCTTTAGGGTTTAGGGTTTAGGGTTTAAAGGTTTAGGGTTTAGGATTTTAAGGTTTCTGCGGTGGGTGCTGCTGTATCGTTTAGAGTGTATGCGCTGCATGTAGCAGCATGCAGCACATACACTGCATGCAGCAGCAATTGGAAATATATCATTTGCTGCTGCATGCATTTCTTTTGCTGCTGCATGCATTTCGTTTGCTGCTGCAGTTGACTGCTGTAGTTAGGGCACCAGCAGCAAAACCCGTTGTCTCTTTTTGTGTCTCTTCATCTGAACGGATCTCCTCTGCATGCATGCATGCGTGCAGGGATGCATGCATGCATGCACCAACAACAAACGCATGCATGCATGTGTTTGTTGATGGTTTGGGGGTGGGCAGTTGTTGCATGCATGCATGCATGCATGCATGGAGGTGCATACACTGCATGCAGTTGCATGCATGGAGTTTATACATTTAAGATAATGTCTTCTTTGTGGGCTGTATGTGTGGGATTCAGGGTGGGCTGCAGCAGCAGCTTGGGGGCGTTGCTGCATACTTTGAACAACCAGATTTCTTCTCTGTCTCCTCAGCAGCTTCTTGCTGTAGCGCGGGGCCTCGCAAAGACACCCCACAGACCCGAAGGACAGAACAATGCCTTTCGCCTCGTCTGGCGGTGAGTACGCGTCTGGGATCGTCTCCTATGGGATCGTCTCCTTTGGGATCGTCTCCCGTAGGAACGTCTCCCTTGGGATCGTCTCCCTTGGGATCGTCTCCCTTGGGATCGTCTCCTTTGGGTGTTGTTTCCATTGGTTCCTGCTGTATCCTGCTTTTTTTGTGGGGTTGTTTATTTGTTGGGGGCTCGCGTGCGTTGGGATTGTCTTTTGTGGGGTGTTCAGTGTGGGATCGCTTTTGGGATCGTCTCTGTGTCTCCTTGTTGCTTGCTGCGCAGTTTTCTCTCTAAGGCCACAGACATCTCTGCTTTGTCTCCTTTGGATTTGCAGAGTCTGTTGCATGCCCTTATCAGGCTGGTGAGCTGAGGGTTTGTTAATATTATTTATCTTCTTATCTTAATAATAGTAAATAATATTAATAATACTGCGGGGGGCCCCACACTGCAGTTGCGGGGGCCCTACATTACTCCATTCAAGGTACAGGGGTCTTCATACCATGTGCAATGTCTTGTCCTAGGGTTTAGGGTTTAGGGTTTATGATTTAGAGGTTAGGGTTTAGGGTTTAGGGTTTAGGGTTTAGGGTTTAGGGTTTGGGGATATGTGCTACTATCTTTAGGGTGATGAGGCTCCACCTGAGGCTGTCCTTGAGGCAGCAAAGGCTTTGACCAATTGGGGGCCCCCGGGGGCCCCCAGGGGCCCCCGGGGCCCCCTCCCTTCAGGGCTTAGAGAGGAGGGTTTAGTCTTTCAGAGCCGGTTTGGGGTAAGCTTGGGTTTAGGGTCTACGGTTTAGGGTTTAGGGTTTATTGATAATGGGTTATGGGGTAGGGTTTAGGGTTTAGGGTTTAGGGTTTAGGGTTTAGGGTTTAGGGTTTGCATACAATTTAGCCTGGGATATGGCTCTCTAATGATACTCTTGCTGTTGCTGCTGCAGCAACGCAGCAGCAGCAACAAAGAGAGTCGCACGCTTGCCTTGCATGCGCTTGAAAATAATTATTCAAGGCTGCTGTTGCTGCTGCTACAGGCCCTCAGCAACGAAATGACAGCAGCCCTCATTAACGAGGCATTACTCGCTGAAGAGCTGACCCTTAAAACAGTAAGAAGAAACAATAGTTCAGTCCTGCTGTTGCTGTTGCTGCTGCTGTTTGTGCTGCTGCTGCTGCTGCTGCTGCGCCTCAGGTAGCATGCTGCTGGTCTTGCTGCAGCTTGCTGCAGCTGCTGTGGTGTATTCACTTGCTCCGCCGCCTTTAAGTGCAGCTTGTGCTGCTGCTGCTTGTGCTGTTGCTGCTTGTGCTGTTGCTGCTTGTGCTGCTGCTTCTTGTGTTACGGCCGCTTGTTTTGCTGCTACGTTTAGCTGGGGTTGCTGTTTGCTGCTGCTGCGGTCGCAGGGGTATCGGTGCCTCGAAGCAATCGCTCGCATGTCTCCAGACTCTGCTGCTGCAGCACAGCAGCAGCAGCAGCAGCCAGTGCAGCAAACGTCGGAGCAGCAGCAAGAGCAGCCAAATGAGCAGCTGCACAGTCAGCTGCAACCGCAGCAGCAGCAGCAGCTGCTGCAGCAGCAGCACGGACAGCAGCACCGGCAGCAGCTTCAGCAACTGGTGTTGAGCCGCATGCAGCAGCAACTTTCGTCGCTGCAGCAAAACACCTGCCTATGCTCAGCTGCTGCTGCAGCTTTTGCTGCTCTCTGCCGTCTGCTGCCCCCTCCTTCTTCTTCAGTACAAACCCACGTAAACCCTAAACCCTAACCCCCTCAAACCCTAAACACTAAACCAGATGATCCATTTATATCAGAAACCTTAAACCCTAAACCCTTAAAACCCGTCAAACCAAAAACCCTAAACCCTCCAAACCCTAAACCCTAAACCCTAAACCCTTAAACAAATGAGCCCCTAAGAGCCTAAACCCTAAACCATAAACCCTTAAAACCCTAAACCCTTAAAATTACAAACCCTACTCAGGTAAACTGTACACCCAAATTTTCAGTATGCATCTGCTGCTGCTGCAGGCGCAGCAGCAGCAGCAACAACAACAACAGCAGCAACAGCAACAGCAAAACGCAGCAGCAGAGGAGTGGCAGCTGCTGCGCATGCAAGCGGGGCTTGCAGGAGACCTTTCGAAGCATATTATTGGCTGCGCTGCTGCTGCAGCACACGCACCAACTCTTCGTTTTGCTGCTGCTGCTGCTGCAGCAAATGTTGCAGCAAGGATTCGCGCAAGAGAAGAACTGCTGCTTTCAACGTCTCCAGGCACAGACGCTGTTGCCGCGAACAGCAGCAGCAGCAGCAGCAGCAGCAGCCAGATTGCAACAGAGGCAGCAATGCGGCTGCTGGCTGCTGCACATGAGGGCCTCCGTTATGTTTCTGCATCTTCACAGTCTGTTGCTGCAGATTGGTTGAGGTGTATGTACACCTCAATTAAGTATGGAGTTCAGCCGCTTGGGATAGAACCCCCCGCGACCTGCTATCTCTCTGCTCATCCTGCTGCTGCTGTTGCTGCTGCTGCTGCTGCTGCTGCTGCTGGAGGTGCTGATGGTGCTGCTGCTGAGGGGCTGCATGCATTTCGATGCAGCATGACAGCAGCAGGAAAAGATGTTAAGAACCTCCTACAGGCAACAAAAGTTGGTGAGCCTTTCATTTGCTATTGTTGCTGCTGTTGCTGCTGCTGCTGCTGCTGGTTTTGCTCCTGTTGCTGCTGCTCCAGCACGTCTACTGACAGCGCAGTGGTAAGGGTTTGGCCATGCTGGCGTTATGGTTGCTGCTGCTGCTGCCTCTGCTGCTGCTGCTGCTGCTTATGCTGCTGCTGCTGCTGTTAAAAGGAATAATGAAAGCATCAGCAGCAGCAGAATAAGAGAGGACCCATGACAGACACACGAAGTTGCATCAAAAGACAAGAGAGAAATAAATAAAAAAGAATTAAATAAATATATGTTTTGCTGCTGCTGCTGTGCATGCAGTGTGTGCCCTGGCGTCTTTCGGTGTACACCCCAGCAGCCTTCATCGTCTCTTCAGCAGCAGCAGCAGCAGCAGCAGCTCTTCTTCGCCTCAGCATGCATGCGCTGCTGCTGCATGCGCGCGAGACGTTGGGGTGAAGGAGACAGTAAAGCCCCAAGGACTGCCCCTGGAAGGGCATTCAGGCCCTGCTGCTGCTGTTGCTGCTGCTGCTGTTGCTGCTGCTGCTTCGAAGACGCATGCATTTGCAGCAGCGCAGAGGAAGCTTGAGGAGATGGGTAAGTGTATTTGTCTTTTTGTTGATGATGTTTTATATCTTTTTTTGTTGTTTTTCTGCCTGTACACCCCAATTGCTGCTGCTGCTGCTTCTGCTGCTGCTGCATCAGTCAGCGGCATAACAGCAGCAGCAGCACTGTCTGTTTTTATTTTGTTTTCTCTTTAAATTTTTGCTGCAGTTGTTTGTTTGTCTCTTCGCGTCGCTCTCCCCCAATTAAACCAAACATTCTACAGATATTTCAAAGCATCAGCTGTACGTACATCGCACATCGATCTGCCTGTACACCTCAGGCGTATATATATATATATTATATATATATATATATATATATATATGCACTTGCGTGAAGTGCCTAGACACCTGAAAATGCATACGTGTTTGCATTTGCTGCTTGAGGTGCCTGTACACCTGAAAATATTTTGTATGTGTCTGTGCACAAATAAACAAAAAAACGTTGGTGTATGTTTGTAGTAAATACTTTCTTTTTGTTTTAGTTTTAGTTTTATTGTTTTTGTTTGTTTTAAGAATAAAAGAATAAACATAATTTGTTGTTTTTGTTGTTTTTCTTCTTTTGTTTGAAGCCCAACCCAACAAGAAGCGGAGACACCAGAAGAAGAGACATCCCTCTCAGTGCTGCTGTTGATTTGCTGAACGCGCTGCTGTCTATTCGCCTTAAGCTTCATCTCCTTTACCCGCAGCAGCAGCAGCAGCAGGAGCAGCAGCAGCAGGAGCAGCTGCTGCTGGTGCCGTTGCTGCAGGCAAAGGAGCCAGTGCAGCAGCAGCAGCTCAACAAGCCGCAGGAGCAGCAGGAGCAGCAGCTCAACAAGCAGCAGCAGCAGCAGCAGCAGGTGGAAGGCGTCTTGTCTGTAGAGGAGCAGCAACGTTTAAGTTTGCTGCTGAGCATTTCTCTTCGTTTTGCTTTGCGTTTAATTAACTACAGCCAAATACCGAGGCCCTCAGCAAAAGACTGTAAACAAATACACAAAAATATTCACCAGCTGCACAGACACCCCAATGATACACAAATTCGCATGTTTACAATAAAACAACTCAAACAATATATATATATATATATGCACAAATGAAGGGATATATATATATATATATATATA